TTTAAAAAAAGGGTTCTTTTAAGGGCTTTTGTTTTAAAAGGGTTCCTTTAAGGGTTCTCTTTAAAGGGTTTAGGGTTTAGGGTTTAGGGTTAAAAGTTTAGGGTTTAGGGTTTAGGGGTTTGGGTTTAGGGTTCCTTTTTGAGGATCTAGGGTTTAGGGTTCCTTTGTTGGGGGATTTAGGGTTTAGGGTTCCTTGTTGGGGGATTTAGGGTTTAGGGTTCCTTTTTTTTGGGTGGGTTTAGGGTTTAGGGTTCCTTTTGAGGGGTTTGGGGTTTAGGGTTCCTCTTTAGGGGTTTGGGGTTTAGGGTTCCTCTTTAGGGTTTAGGGTTGGGGGTTTATAAGCTTTAGGATACAGAGGCCCTCAGGGTGCCAAAAGGGCTGCTTGCCATAACGGTCTAGGATATCAATGTAGGAGCCTTGAATGCTTCGACCGGGGCTTTACTAATGAGGAATTGTTTGGCGCAATTTCATTGGATATGGTATTCCAGCTTCTCAGCATGACCTTTTGAATCTGTTTTTACTGCAAGCAGTGTGGTTACAGAAGATGTCAGCGAACCACAAACATGCCGGCCCCAGAACGACTAATCTTCGCAGAGTTGTGTACATACTGCTCCCTTTCAGTGCTGAACGCCAACATGCGCTGGCAAAATGGCAAGAACACATCGTTGCATTCCACTTTGGCTTCCGGTCTTCGCCTCACGACTGAGAGCAACACCTGGGGGTCGATACAGTATCCTACGGGGGTGTCGTCCGTGAGAACACAAAGTTGTTGTTCAGCATACTGCTTGGTTGCGTGGACGCCAACCTTGATCCAGCTATAGTCAGCCGAACGAAGGAAGATGACTTCATGGACCTCATAAGGAAGATATTCGGATCATCATGGCTGAGCTCAATAATTCTGGACAGGATCACAAGATATTCCAGGCTTCGAGGGCGAGCAGTCCAAGGTGCTGACAAGCAAGAGCTGGTCGGAGTGGTTGAGAGTGATGATGGCCGAGGGCGGCATCATACTTGGCCCACCGACAAGAGTCATAGCTTCCATCGTCACGTCCAGTCCGCAGACCGGGACTTGGCGGATGGACCAACTAGCCTGCTCGGTCTGGCGTGGCTTGCGACCCGTCGAGGAGCGAGTGGGGGTACTCGTTGAGTGGTCCCTTCGGCTGCTGGTTCGAACGCGAGGATTATAGGGTCTAGAGATTAGAGTTGAATATGCAAGCCACGCAGACGCACAGACGCGGAGAAACTATCTGCACCCCAAGAAACGCAGAATCGAAATCCCAAACCAAGTTTGAATGGTATGCGATGATAGGGTTTTCTAGTATGACTTCTTTGTACATGAGAATCAAGTAACGAAGGGTAAGTAAACCCGAAACCCGAAACTTTAAACTCCTAAACCCCCAAACCCGAAACCCTAAACCCGTAAACCCGAAACCCGCAAGCCTAAACCATCAGACCCCAAACCTGAAACCACGGTTCCCAAGTTACAGTTGATCGCCGAGGTCGGGGACATGGCGGCCCGCAGAGATGGAAGGACCTGAACCCGTAATCTTTACCTGGACCCGGTTTAGGGTTTAGGGTTTGGGGTTTGGGGTTTAGTCCCTTTTTAAGGCTCCTTATCATGATTTTCTTTTTTGGGTTCTTCGTTGATTGTAGGTTCTTTGGAGTCTAGGTAAACCCCAAGCCCGACCCTGCGATATTTCGATTTACAAAAATTGTGTGCAAGGTTGACGACAGGAAGGAGTCGTGCGGGGTTTCGGGTTTGGGGGTATGGTGTTTAGGGATATGGAGTTGAGCGGTTTAAGGGCTTGGGTAAGTAGAATTGGGAAGATACTTGCGGCATTGAATAATAAGTAAAAGCGGGCATTATACCAGTTTGGTCAGGGTTTCTCAGGGTTGAGGAAAGGGGCCTTTAGGATGAACATAGGGTTTGGGGGTTTGGGGTTTAGGGTTTAGGGATGATGATCATACTTATATAGAGGGTCGAAAGACTCTGTAGGTATTCGTAAGGAGGTAGTATATATAGAACTCTAAGTGCCCCAAGTGGGATCTTTTTCGGGGTTATGGTACTTATACGATAACTACTGTCTGCGTCCCGAGCCTCCCAGCAGGGTAACCCAACGCGGTGGGTAGGGGATGTCCCAACCCCTAAACTAAACCAAACCCCTAAACCCTAAACCTAAACCCCTGCACCCTCAACCCGAAACCCGATTCTAGGTACTGCTCTGAGCAGGTAATTAGTGGGCTGGTTCAGGCGGGCTCTATTTAGGGTTTATAGGGTTCAGGGTTTAGTGTTCTGGGTTTAGGGTGCCTTGCGATCCTGGGTGTTGATAGTACCATAGTTGGGTGCAGGAGATGCTTCGAGGGGGCATGGCTGAACCACATCCCTCTGCAGGTACGCGTAGTCCTACCTTAGGCCACAATACCCACTTGTTGCGGGGTCTTAGTTAGTAAGGTGTAAGCCTTAGTGTATCGAGACGTTACTAAAGAACCTACAAAAAATAAACAAGTGATTTTATGTGTATTCTATCGTCATGGCGCTTTCTAAGTCCCTTGCTACTCCAAGTGGTCCTTAACCTTCCAAGCCGGAACGTAAGGCCGAAACCTGAAAGCGTAAATCCTAAGCCTGCGCTGTACAACCGTGAAGAGCCCTTATGAAGGCCTCCTATGCTCCTCACTTGTCGTACCCTCATCGTATTCGCTGTCGATTCCTTCTGGGAACCCTTTCCTGATTCTTATATCTAAGGTTGAACCCATGGGCCCCTAACATGGGCCCTTAGGGGATTCTAGGGTCCCTTAAGGGTACATATAGGGTATATAGGATCCCAGGGTTAAGGGCCCATACTAGGGGCCCATGGGTTCTACCTTAGATTATAGGATCCTTCAGAACCAGCCGCGAAACTAACACAGGACGGAGCTCCAGGTGGTGACGTCAGGTCCCGGGGGACCCAGCTCTTTCTTCAAGAGCTTATTTTAGGGTTAGGGTTTAGTGTGCTTTACGGGCGTGCATGTTGGTTTCGGAAGCGCGTCCCTGTTTCCACTTAGCTTGGACTTGACGCGAGCATGAAGCAAGCGTTTCAGTCCGTTTCCGCAAGATGGCTGTGTGTGTGAAAGGGAGAAGGCATCAATGAGTAAGTGGCGAGAGCAGGAAAGAACGACTTCATAAAGGATTCTACGCTCTGCAGAAGTTTTCTGACAAGTCGTACCCTACTGCTCAAAATAGCCCAAGAGTCTTACAAAGTATGGTCTTTTGGGCCCAAAAGCCTTAAACGATGAGTCCTTAGAGCCTTATAGGGCTTAGGACAACCTTCGACTCTAAAAAAGATGATCTTTGTAGCCTTGGAGCTCCTCGAGTGGAAAGGTCCAGAAACCGAGTCATCATATCTGGAGCGCTAGGGTATGGGTTCCGTTAGGGTTTAGGGTTTATATAAGTTCAGGGTCTGAATCATCGATCGCTTCTTCGGCATGTCGCAGCAACGTCTTGAGCTAAGCACGTTGGCACCATGGCATGCACTCTTTGGAGGATCATGGGACTTAGTAAGTAAGGTTATAAGTCCCCTTAATTGGGGTTATAAGTATAGCTACCTTAGTTATAAACCTACTTACTAAGTCCCATGATCCTCCAAGTATGCGCAGTTCTACGAGGCTGAGGAGCAACTCATGGCAGCTGGCAACCTTCTTGGGACGCTCGAGAAGTTACAGGCTGAGGCTGCATTTTTGCAGGACCCGAGAGAGAGGGCAGTCACCGACGGCGTGCCGAATTCCAAGCCGAATCGGCCGCCGCTGAGTGCACATCCGCGGCGCCAGGATCCCATGGGAATCCCAGAAGGTCAAGCGCCGAATCGCCGGATGGTGCTGTCACCCGTGCACAGAGAAGAGAACGACGGCGAGGGTCGAGAATGGCTATGACCACAAAGGTCATGCCTGCGCATCCTGCGTCGGGCTCATAACAGAGATAATAGTAATCGTTATCATGGTAATATACGAATATTTTTAGTGTCCATCAATGCCAATACTAGCATTAAGTTGCCTGACGCTCGGCCTGAGCGGGGAGCAGGTGCAGACCCTAAACCGCTGACCATGAAGTCTAATGTCTAAACCCCACTGAAACCGGAACCCATGCTGAAAGGCCTGCAAGCGTGTTAGTTCGAAGCTTTGAGAACTCTTGCAGAAACTCGTGTAGAACTCTTTCAGACATGGAAGTCTCGAAGACTCCGTACAGGAACCCTTACAGAAACAAAAACTTACCGCTTCAACCCTGGAAGAAAAAACAATGCATGAAAAGTCACCAAAACTTATACATTAGTTATGCTACACGAAGAACGCACTGGTGGAAGCTAGCACCCTGCAGCCTCACGCCCTCGAGCTGAAACCTAATCCCTTATCCCGAAACCGCTACCCCAAGCCCCAAAGCCCGGACCTTCGAACCCTTGGGGTTTAGGGTTTAGGGTCTAGGAGTGTTGGGTTACGTTGGGTTTAGGGAATGTCATATGCAAATCTCCAAGCTTTCGAACCTGAATAGGCTCTCGATCTATACACTCTAGAACCCAGGCGCTTTGGAACTGCAAAACCCACAGCCAAGCCCAGTCCTTAACCATAGAACACCCCTTATGAAGACCATTTTCGAAGTCTTGAAGAACCCTGTGAAATTCCGGCGCACATCCTTGTAGAATACGGAGAACACCCGTATATAAGTCCTAAACGTTTAAGCCGACACAGACAGCACTTAGAGGACCCCGTAAACGGCACCTTACAAAGGAACCCAAACGAACGCGGATCCCCCAAAGGAGCCTTGCAACGAACCTTACCCTAAACCCTAAACCCTAAACCCTAAAACCCTAGAGCCCCCAAGCCCTAAAACCCTAGTGCCCTGCACCCTCAAACCCTAAACCCTAAAGCCCTAGAATCCTGAACCTAAAGCCCCAAGCTCTAAACCCTCACACCTGAAACCTTACAGCCCTAAAACCCTGAACCTTAAACCCCTAGAAAGGAACCCTAGACCCTGAACCCAACAAGAGCAACCCTAAACCCTAAACCCCAAAAAAGCAACCCTGAAACACCCGAAACCCCCAAAAAAAGGAACCCACAGAGCAACAACAAAAGGAACACGTCTCGCCTTGCAGGGGCCCTCGTGGCGGGCTGTGTACCGGTCAAAGAGTGCCTGGAGGGGGGGGGGTTTAGGGCTTTAGGGTTTAAGAGTGAGGTTTGGGGCTTTAGGGTTTAGAGTTTTAGGGATTAGGGTTTTGAGGTTTTTTTTCAGGGTTTTGGAGTTTAGGGTTTGCGGGTTTCGGGTTTGGCGTTTTTGGGAGGAGCCGGGTTGAGGGGACAGGGCTCTTGAAGCGGCTTCTCTTAAGGGTTCTAGAACAGTTCCTTTATGGGTCTTCATCGGCACTACGGGGTTTAGGGTTTTCGGGCTTCAGGGTTGTAGGGTTGCGGGCTCATGGCTTTGAAGCTTGGTCAACATGCCTTAACAAACCCCTATAAGCCCTAAACCAAAATTGCCGAATCGGTTAACGGTTTTGAGGTTTTAGGGCTTAAGATAACCTAAATTCTACTTGGAGGGTCAGGGGCGGCAAGATTATATTACGGTTGTCTCAAGTGTTTAATGTCGGGGGCCTAAACGATTACCAAGACTATTTTGGGGGTTCCTTATTATAGTATAACGGGCCCCAAAACCCTATCCTAATTTTTAAAGCCCCTGTATTCTCCACAAACATCGCTCATTGCTGCGGAAGGCACCCAGCTCAAAACACGCAACCCCCTGGCCAGCATGACAATCCACTTCGGTCTCCTTGCCTTCTGTTGGGGCGTCTACTATAGGGACCTCAATATTTACCTATGCTATTGGGGGTTGCTCGTTATAAACTTTTAGTATAATATACCCCAAAACCCCATTCTAATTATTGAGGCCCTTCAACCCTAAACCCTTAGAGTAGCCCTTATAGAACCCTTTAAAGGAAGCACCCAAGAACCCTATTCTATTTAATAGGGCCCCTATTTCTGGGATCTGGTGACCCAGCTTGTTGCAAGAACTGAGGGGTCTCTTTGAAGGGGTTGAGGATCGGAACTTTAGGGTTTAGCGTTTAGGGTTAGGGTTGATTGCAGCATAGTGCCGCGGCGCCATGATTTCGAAGGGCAACACAAGGAAACCCTTCCACACCTGGCAACCGCGGCCATGTGGCTGTGCTGATCTGGTCACTCCACAACTCGGTGCGTGGATTCAACAGCTCATTCAGGTCCCTCAGACCTGGCAAGACGCTTGGCTGGTGCTCATTCCCAAGATCACGTCCAAGAACTGCGATGGGAAAGAGGCATTTCATGCTCCCCTCTGTTGGATCATGTGCGCAAGCTTTTCTGGATCTTGGAGGAGTCTAAAGAGGTTGGTAAGTAACTAGCAACACGCCCAAGCCCGGTCATCTTTCGGCTGAACTTGCTGCAGGCTCGAAGTCCTTAGCCAAGTAGTCAAGCCAGAGGAAGGCCAGCTATCGGCCTAACGGAAGCGAGCGGAAGAGCGGTGTTACAAATCCTCCAAGCAAGGTTAAGACCGTATGTAAAACCAACAGGGTCGTGCAAAAGACTGCGAGCCTGCCACCAGGTCGGTCATGGACGCCTACGAAATATGCATCCCAGAACGTAACCAAGTGTCCATTCCTTCCAGACATTAGTGTCTAGTCTCCCGAAATAAGTGTCTAATCATGTATTCCGCCCAGCAATAAGTGTCTATTCTTTCCGAATAGACAGTTATTTGTGGGAGGGATGGACACTCAGTGCTGGAAATAGACACGTATTTCTGGGTGGAATAGATACCTATTTCGGCTAGACCAGGTATAAGGGTTCCATAAGGGCTTCTACAAGGATCCTATTAGGGTCGTAGGGGTTTCTCGAAGGGTTCGATCCGGGGTTTCGATAAGGTATTTCATGGGTCGTTAAGCTTGTCCTGAATTCCCGAACTTGCAGCCCACCTTGCATAGTGTTGTAATGCCTACAAGATGTTGAACATGCCAGCAGGCCCTAAACCAAAACAGCTTAAACAAACCCACAATGGCAACCTTAACCAAACCAAAACCCACCAAACCCCAAACCTTAGAAAGCCCTTATGAAACCCGCATAACCCCGCGAGAAAAGGTGCGAGTTCGTGGCCTTATAGAGCGCAACGAACTCAACGGCTTCCTGACTGCAACTTTAGGCTTTGTGGCCATGAGTCGTTGAGGGCTCAGGGACCTGGGGAACAGTTTCGGTAATTATTTAGGCCCTTACAGTAGGTACTTATGACCCTTGGGAACGAGCCAAGGCCCGGCTTGAAGGATCAGGATCGAAATGGCGGTTTAGGGTTTAGGGTTTGCCGTAGAAAAGCATAGGCGCTCTATTTGAGTGAGTGAGTGTGCGGCAAGCTGCACGAGGTGGTACGGGCAGAAGCCATGCCTAAGGCGCCGATCCCTGCCGGTTTCTCAGGAAGCTCCGCAGGCATCATTGCTTCGTCTGCTTGGAGTTCACGCTGGCGAACGCCCCAACCCCAGGAACAACGCTCCGAGGTCGGCAAAAGGCCCATTTAAGCAAGAGGGTATGCAAGCAATTTCGCACAAAGCCTCAACTAGGCAGGCCCGCCACCGGAAAGCCGGCATAAGGGCAAGACAGCCTGCCATCCTCGTGACAACCCGTGCGAAAAGACGCTTCGCCAGAAGGTCCCCCTTCAAGGTACTAGGCCAAGCAAGCAACGCCACCTCTGCGTCGGGCAATGCGCAGCCACGTGCTGAAGAAGCAGGCACGCTTGTCCACAGATCCCTCTGCAGATACTCCGCGACCCATGCGCTCCGGGAACTTACTCATTCACCACCATTTTCCTGTGAAAACGGGGAATGGTAGGCTCCAGCCATCCCCCTGCAAGCAGGTCACTTATCAGTATGCCCTCCGAGTTCAGGCTCAGAAAGCGAAGTAAGTGCAAATTTTCCACTGGGAATCCGCATTGTACTTGTGCAAAGATATACACCCAATAATTTGTTCAAGCGGCCAAGGCCCCGTACTGCACCTACTTTGCAGCTCCCGTAATGTTTAAAGCCTACATAAGCGTTAAAACCCCTGGTTAACGTCAAAGAATGCCCCCAAACAAACCCTACGTAAGCCTCCCCAAAAGTAGGCAACATCATTGCCCACCCTAAACCCTAAACCGTAAACCCTAAACCCTAAACCGTAGGTCCAGGTAGGCCCGAAACCCTTGACACAACTTCCAAGACTCTGCCCAGTCAGATGCTCGGGACTAGCAGGTTTCTTATATGTTTCATTTCGGGTTTAGGGCCTTAGAGTTTAGGGTTTAGAGTCTAGGTTCTACTTAGCATGCAAAAGACCAGCCCTCTTAGCAAGTAGATTCAAGTTTGAGTAATAAGTAACCGGCTCACCGCCCCCAGCCCTAAACGCCTATTTCTAAATCTTGAACCTCTAACTCTACACCCTTAAACCCTTAAACCCTAAACCCTAAACCGCCAGACTGTTGCTTCGACATTTCACCTTTTGAGCCCTCAACCGAGACCCCTGGGATTAGCCAAAAAAATATATCCCTCAAGGCGGTTCCTGTAAAGTACCCTGTAGTAGCATATGGCCCCAAATTAGGGGGACTGCTGTTCAGATCTTTTCGGGCCAGGTAGTAACCCTCACAGGAACCCAAAGAGGAACCCTAAAACCAACCCCCATTTGTGTTCAGAATATATATTCAAAAGTTTACTCATTTCCCATCCCATGAAAGCATCCTCAAACTTGATCCCTGAAGTGCGTTCGTACAACGTACCTCTTAGTAGCAGTAGTAGAGGGTGCCACACCATAAGGGGATTTACTGCTGTAGAAATTCCAACTCAGACCTCCACCTTATTCCCAGACCCCATTCCAAGTACCAAGCCCCACATAAATTCCCCTCTATCAAACCGCTTCTGGCAAGTATGGATAGACACCCTTCTAGGAAGGCTTATAGTAACCCTTAGACGGACCGTTACAGGAATCCTAAACGCAAACCCTAAACCCAGTCTGACCCCTGAGCCCCACACCCAAAACCCTAAATCCCTGGGTTTAGGTTTTAGGGGTTTAGGGTTTAGGGTTAAATCCCTGAACCCCAAACTCTAAACCCTAAACCCTCAACTCACTCTAAACCCCAAAGCTTAAACCCTAAACCCCTAAACCCTCAAGCCCTTAAACCCCAGACCCGAACACCCTGAAGCCCTAAACCCTTCAAGCAAGGCTGCCAGGGCGAAGTCGCCGGCTTCGACGACGTTGAGCAAAGATGGCAGGCACTTAGGGGTTAGGGTTTAGGGTTTAGGATTGAGGGTTTAGGGCCCGTTCTGTGAGGTGTTCTTTTTTGAATTTCCCTCAAAAATCTACAGGGTTCTTGCGAGGACTCCTTTAAGGGGTTTAGGGTTCAGGGTTCCTCATAAGGGATCAGGGTTTAGGCTTCTTTTGAAGGGTTTAGGGTTTCGGGATCCTTCTAAGGGGGCTGTTACAGAGTTCTTTTAAAGGATCTAGGGTGCAGTGTTCCTCTAAGGGTTCTAGGTTTTATCGCAATGTCTAGGTTTTTAGGCTGCAGTGGTGTGAGGGTTTCGGGCTTAGGGGTAGTTGTTCTTTCTGCATCGGTTTCGAGTTCTAGTGGTTTACGGGCTATCGTTTGGGCTCTTTACATCTGACAGCTGGGTGGCCCTTCAAGTAAATTACATCCGCAAAAGCACCTTGCCGCCATAATTCCGAAGAGTTGCGACTGTAAGACTCTACTGGATTCAGACGGAGCTTGAGTGACCATTCACTGAAATATGGCAAGCACCGGTAACAAATGATATAATAGCTGAGGTCAAAGTTCTGTTTCTAGAGAACACTTGCGCTTGCAGCAGTGTCAATGCCTACTGCTGCTAGCTGGGTGGCCAGCTCGTTGACATTGCACACGAGAATATGCACCTGGCAGGTGCAACTGCAGAATGATCCTCAAACGTATTGTCAGAATGGAAGATGTGCCGTAAACATAGATTCGAAAGAGCGATCGCTCTTGTTGCATAAGTTGTTCGGCATTTGATCCTTCGTAGTACCTTCATCAACTACCAGATAATGTCTAGAAGCCAACGACTTCATGATCTCTCAATTATTTACTGGTTCGTGCTACCGTTGATGTTCATTGGTTAGTTGCGCTTGTAGGGTATTTTGCTAGTAATGTGGAGTGCAGATTATCTGAAAGTCTTCGGAACCGTGACCATGGCAAAGAGAGAGAGAGAGAGAGAGAGCCATATGTGTGTGTGTATATATATATACCATATGTGTGTATATATATATATATATTCATACATATATGCCTTTAGGCTACTTTGAGTTTAAACAGGTGGCACTCGACGACGGCACGGGCAAGCTGCTGAAAGCCGCGAATCTGGAGGTCGATGTCTTTGAAGTCAAGGGGGGTTGAATAACTACAGCGGTGATGCTGTTGATGATAGAAATCCAGCATTTCCTTGAGGACCCTAAACTATGGGAATTCTGGTTTATTCCTTATGTATATTGCAGAATTTATATCATCAACCGAATAGTTGGTTGAATAATTCCAGCAGTGATAGTGTGCCTCGGGGATCCTTAACCCAGAGGCTCCATGCGCACTACCATTATGGAATTAGACCCCAAAAAACCATCCATATTATGGCTTTGGGGACCTAACTCCATTTTGGCAGTCTATATGGACCCTAAGCCCTAAACACTAAACCCTTAAAAGGAACCCTAAGCCCTAAACTTTTAACAGGAACCCTAAACCCTGAACCCTTACAAGGAAGCCGTAAAGGACCCCTTAGCCTCTGGGTAAGACAACTACACTAGAACATTCGCCCGAAGCCCTCGTCTGATGATGTGGGGGATCATTTCTGGTTTTTGTCAGGGCTTCAGGGGTTTAGGGTTTAGGGGTTAAAACCCGAAAGCCTAAATCCTAAACC